CCGGACGGCGTCCGCTTGCAAGTATGCTATCAACTGAAACAAAAAACAACGTATTCTCTATTTAATATGTTATTATTTATCGATTGGATTGAATTTATTAACTGATTCGATCTAATTGCCATCAGTTCCGTGGGTCCTTGTTGCCATCTATTCAGTTGGTCTATAAATTCAGTCCCCCCCGCGGCGCTTATAAGCGAATGTTTGACTTCAGCTCGAGTTACAGTCAAGTGGTCATTCACTCTTTGCACAGTTTGAACTTTGAAATTCTCGGTTGCTGATCGGAAATAGTACTTCCTTTGATCATCATTCCGACCTCTCAACTGCAGGATCTTTTTCGTTTTCAGCTTTTTTTTTTTTAACACTTTTCTAAGATAACTTTTCCTCATTCATTCAAGTCGATTCAACCTCTTCATTCATTCCGAGACATGTCAGAGCGTAGAGCTTAGCTAAGACAACTGGTGGATGGCCAAAAGCAGCCACAGAGCCTTTACGCTATCCACCTACCACTCACTTTACGCTATCCACCTAGTTCGAGTCCTTGGTGTACCTACTACCTACCACTGGCAATTTCACCCACACTCAAGGAAATCACAGACTAACGTGTTACGGACTTACAGTTCAATAAAAATTTTCATAAGAACTATTAACTTAGCAATGTTAGCATGCTAATTTAAAAAAAAAAAAAAAAAAAAAAAAACAATGTTAAATCGCGTGCACCACACTGAGCCTTCGGCGGGTTGAAACTTGAAAAAGAATAACTCGCCTGCTCTTTCGTAGCCTGTCTGATATTCTCATGATGCTGCTTTATCTGAAACGTCCTCTCCACAATCGCCCTCTTAAGGTACTGATTTTGATATGCAAGAGCATTCAGTTTCCTCTTCAGATTATTCAGAACCTGCCCCAAAATTGCACGGAAGTCAGAAAGCAAAAAAAAGGCCGAGTCACAGACCAAACAACAAACTGTCCCCCCTTGCTTCCCCCCTTCTGTGGCAGCCACTGCACCCCTTGCTCCCCCCCAGGCTGCCCCAAAATCTGCACCAAAGTCGGAACAAGAAGAGTCCAAAACAGACCAAGTCATCAAAGCCAAACAGTCACCCGTATGCGCCCCCGCGCGCACCCCCCACCCCCTCCTCCTCTCTGGCATCACTCTCCCTCCCTCCCTTGCTTCTAAGCCTCGCTAGTTGCAAGTGCTTCTGTTGCATATTAACACAAAGGGTATTGTCGCGAAAGTTCGTCTTGAAAGCTACTGTCCTTCAATGTCTATTCAGATCCATGAGATGATGACGCTTATTTTGCAAATCCTTTTTTTTTTTTTTTTTTTTTTACACAAAAACCTATATTTTACCTCCCCTACGACTCACTTCGATAGACACCATGCCCTTTCTTTGAGTTCCTCACCATTGCATGCAGCCCAGCTGGCTGGTGTGCTTGCGGTCATTGCCCATCTCCTCATCTTTTCCATTAGGCTGGTGATAGTCTATTAATCAGAGCCGAACAGATCGTCTTCACCCGAACAGAACGCCCTGTCATTATCGCTATATGTAGACAGAAAGTTGCACCAAATACGGCTATAAGGACCGGGCGTTCTATTCGGGTGAAGACGGTAGCACGCTACTCTTGCTCATTTGCAGAGTCTACAAGTGCCTGACTTATCATTGATTGCCTATGCATAACTGTCACCTGAGGGGCAGCTAAACAACTGATGAAATGTCTGACTTATCTGAAGACTCTCTGACCACTCAGGACACCCTTGTCCTTTCAGAGCAAGTCCATTTACGTTCTCCTTGCCTCGATGACTCACAACAGCCTCACAGGGTCTTTTCATAGAGGCTGCACTTACACAATCTTTCTTGTTTACGTTGCAATGCAATGACTTGCTGGTTTCTGGTTGCCTGTAGCCTTTCTCTTGACGAGGCTGTACCATCTATAGGATAGATTCGTAATTTTGTTTGGCTGAGGGCTAACCGAGAGACCTGCCTGTAAGGAAATTCGTTAGGGACATACCCGCAAATTCAGGAAAAATATAGGCCCTTACTAACTAGAATTCCCTACAGCTATCCTAACTGCGAAATGCAGGCCCGGGCTACCCATAGGACAGACAGGCCCTAAGGGCCTAAGCTGATAGACGGTCCTATAGCCTATAGCCGGGTTGGGAAAGGCCCGAGAGGCCGAAACAGAAACGGTACCGGTCGGTCAGTCATTCCGGTCTAGGTCGAGTCTAGGCTAAAGCAGACTATAGATAGGATGGGCACATCGGTTCAGGGCTTTTGGCGGTTGGTACTGTGTACATTGCTGCTGTGCAACGCGTGAACTGGAAGTGGTGACGACTCAGCGTTGAGAGAGACAGACATAGCCAGACCTTCGGAGCGCCGGTCATCGCTGGGACCTGCGCTGTACTCTGTCAGCACACGGGGCTGTACAGAGGTTTGGGCTATGCGAGGTCTGCTGGAGGCAAGAGAAGTTGGTACCCTGCTGGACCCTCCTCTGGAGTAGGGTTACAGGGTTGTGGCGCTGCAGCCATAGCTGCAGCTTCCTCCTCAGAGATCATCTTGTCAGGAGTGGTGGCGCTGCTGCAGACTTCCACCCGGGAAGTCTTCCGACACTTCGTCATCGTCAGATACTGTGGCGCTGGACTTCTTCTTCATCCTCTGAGTGGTGCTTCCCTCTGAAGGCTGTATCTGGGTGGCGCTTGATGTTTCAGGGACTCAGGGGTAGTGATAGCGGTTCATCAGGGTTGGGGAGTGAAGCGCTGCTCATTTCTGAGCAGCGCATCATAGTACTGAGGTTATCCTGACAATTCGAGACTCTGAGTTTCATAAACAGTGTTGATACTGGGTTCAGAATATCACCGTTTCATTGTTTCTTGGATGTGATCTACTCGGCTTTCCTTTATGATTCGTTGTGAGGATTGAGTGGAGTGAATTGCACTTTCAGTGTACCTGTCATATCGCATGGTCAAGTCTTCTGCTGTGTTTATCTCTCTCTGTGCGGTGTGATACTCCTATCCTCTCCCCTTCCTTCTGTGTATGTATGGGCATACTGTGAGTGAGTGTTGGCCTTCAGGCAACAGACGACCAGAATCATAACAGCAATCTCTCGACAAACCGTATGACGTATGCTACTTCATGCAAACAGCTAGCTAACCATTAAGTGGCAGACGCTTCACGTCTGATCTGTTGCCAGCGCTCGCAAGAACACTGATGTGCAAAGTATGTGGCTTAGATCATTTAGATGGTATTCTAAAAAGGATCGAATCTTGGACTTCCATTTGGTGAATGGTCACCACAAATGTTCTTTTCTTTTCTTTTTTTCAATAAACAGGTCCTTATTGTCCTGGCTCCATGTCCATTCTGGGAGCATCAGTGCGGTTCTCCTATTCCACCGGCAAGTCAGACAAAGATCGACGTGTGCTGAACGGAAAGCAGAATGCAGTTCAATGCACCAAGTTACACACACCAAATAAGACCAAAAAGTGATGAACTCAAGTGTCAACGTTAGCCCCCCATCTCGCCACCACCAACAATGTATCAAATGTCGCTCTTCTATATGGCTTTCGGCGCCCAGACCACAATGTGACAGCGCCTAATATACTAGCCTATCAATCTATGTGATGCAGCCAGGAATACCTCAGCAGCTGCCCGGTGTACAAGGTGTCGCCCATGCAGACCTCCACTCAATGTGTCTCTCTCCCTCTCACTCGTTCCCTGTCTTGTCCTTCCACAGGCTCTACACCTCCGCCCTGGACCATGACCACATCCACCGGCACCATGCACGAGCAGCTTGGCTATGGCCGCCGTACTAGCTGTGCCCAGCAGCTACCCCCCAGCGCCCGTGTGCGCCCTCTGGCCAGCGCAGTGCCTCGCCGTGCGCTTGAGCAGAGCTCACACACTCGCATCCAGCCAGAATGTGTTCTGGACTGGGGCAGGCACCTGTATGGAAAGTGTCTGGCTGGTGAGGGCCGGCCTGCCTGCACGCCTGTGTCCCAGTGGCCACGCCCCAGGGCCCTTCCAGAATGTGCCTGGGGCTCAAACTGTAAGGGTCCTGGGCCTCAACATCTAGGGCTGGCAGCATCTTCAACTGTCGGGCCCTACCCGGTGGTTGAAGATGCTGCGAGGCTCAACCACCCGAAGGGCCCTTCTGGACTTTCCTCATCCAGTAACCGACTCCGGGGCCCCGGCGGCCACAATCCAGGACGAAAATGGGCCGACAGCAAAGCTCAGGCCCGCCTTCACTTAGGGCGGGCACTTATGGGCCTTCCCAAGCTGCCGAGGGCCTCACATCCTTCTGCACTATTGATATTTTGAGAATTTGGTCCCTTTATTTTTTCTTTGATTTTTCGTGTATGGGATAAATTCAGAAAAGTGTGGTCTCAGTTTCGGCCTTCCAAAAACGTCACCGTCTTTGGATAAGGCGAGGCTGAAAACTGAGATTTTAGAAATGCTTCCAGGGCTGCAGAAAGTGCAGCCCGAATCCTGGAATTGCAAAAAAGTTCATTTTCCATCTCGGGCTTTTTTTTTTTCTTTTTTTTTTCCCTTCCCATTTGGCGGAGTCCCCGTCCACCGTGGTGTTACTTTTGCTAGATGGGGAGCATGCACCCCAATACAAAAACCCCAGCCGCAGCAGAGGGAGTCCAGACAACGGCGTGTAAATGCACCAAGGCAGGGGCGAAAGCCTGAAGACGGAGCTCCATAGAAGCAAATAAACTGGGGGGAAAAAAAGAAAAAAAAGAGGGTGTGTGCCTGCAGCCCTTTTTTTTCTGAACGTAGCGCGAATGGTTGGCCGGCCAGAAATCTGTGCTCGATTCAGTGGAGCTGAACGTAGCGCGAATGGTTGGCCGGCCAGATTCGTCCAGAAATAGCCCTTCCAAAGTACTACTGGGACCAAACGAAGAAGAGGAAGAAAAGCGGAGGGGGTGCGGGGGGCGATGAAGAAGGGGGAGGGGGTAGCAGGGAAGGAGGAAGGACAGGTCACAAAAAAGAGGAATGGCCTGACGGGGACTGCTACCTCCCGTAAATGGGAAAGCAAGCTGACCTGCCTTTTCTGCCACTCTCTTCTCCCAGTAACAGTTTCCCATTGGCTGCAAAATCCCCTCCCCAGTGACACTTCCACTAGAACAGTCTAGAACGTTTCTAATTTCCTCCTCCCCCCCCCCACCTGGAAGGGAGAATGGGGCGAGCCACGCTCTGCTGCATTGCAATACAGAGGCAACTCAGAGGGGGCGAGTAGGCAAGCCTACCCATATGACCACACCGTACCCCTGAAAATTTAATCTAATATCATGTGGCCCGATGGACCACGCATCAGATATTAAACTGATCAGAAAAGATACTACACTTGATCTTAGCCAAAAGGCAAGCCTACCCATATGACCACACCATACCCCTGAAAAAATAATTTAATATCATGTGGCCGGATGGACCACGGATCAGATATTAAACTGATCAGAAAAATTTCAGTTTTCGCCCTCGCCCGTTTCCTGAAACACGGCGACGTTTTTGAAAAGGCCAAAACTGAAACCGCACTTTTCTAAAGTTAATAAGTTATCCCATTTCAATCTGTTTCCAGAAAAAAAGGAACTTTCCCGACTCCGGATCATAACTCTGTGCGAAGCTGCAGCAGAGACTCCGAAATTCTGGATGCACACCTGCACAGTCTTCCCGGTAGTTATCTTTAGCCGAAGAAGTTCGTTGTTTCGCTCCTCAATCTTCTGCAAGTGCTGCTGATTCTGTATTTTCAGCTGCTCAAAATCTACAACATGAAGGACCTCTCCCATTTCCTCCTTTTGCCGCAGCTGTTGCTCATATCTTTGCGTCTGGAACACAAGCAAGCAATGGAGAAAGAGCAGTGCATGCCCATCGAGTCATCGACCGATGGAAAAATAGAAAGAGAGAACGTCCAGCAAGCAATGGTGAGAAAGAACTTCAAAGAAGAGAATGTTAATGTTACCTCTGGATCAGGTTCACTAACCAACTCCCCCCCCCCTCCGGAAATCTGAATCAGGCTGAATAATGAGACATCTCAAACATGCAATTTGAAAATGCAAAATGGCAAATGGATCAGTGAAGTGTTGTCCCCGGCGAATTTGCCAACAATCCATCGAAGAGTTGAAACTGGAAGGCAAAATACAAATAAACATTTCAAAATTCAAAATTAATACTAATTTAATACGCTAACTGGCTACGTGTTATCCAGGGATGGGGGGGGAATGGGGGGGAGGAGGAGGACAAAACAAACAGAGAGAAAAAAGTTCTTGAAGGTTGATTAGACTCGACCTACATTCTTTACTAAGTTATTATACATAAAATTAAAATTATAAATAATGAAACGGAGGTGTAATGAACCCAATCTTGACAAGTCCACAATCTCCACACCATACATGAACTCAAATTTTGAATTATTTCATACATAAAAAAAATTAAAAAAATTAAATATAAGATAATGAAATGGAGGTGTAATACTAATTACTAATTAGTAGCCCAACCTTGAGAAGCTCACGATTTCCACACGATGCATGAACTCGAATTATTTCATGCATCGTGTGGAAATCATGAGCTTCTCAAGTTGTATCCCAGTTTGACTGTGTATTCTTGAATGGAAACATTAGTTCTGAGGCTTCTATTTCTGTCTGGTTTCCAAGCCCACTCTGGTGGATCAAATTCCAAGTCTTGAATCGCCTTATCCATTCTGAACATTGTTTTTGGCCATGACCCCAACACTCTGACTTTTCTGAGTACAAAAGGGCTTAGGATTGTTCTTTCCACCTCTTTATTCAGGATAGATGGAGGGCCTTGCGTGGAGGGGGTAATTGGGAAGGAGGTGCACACTGCCAGGGTATCCGACCCTTGCTGTTTATGGGAGAATTGATAGGCCCTTGTGGGGGTTAAATCCTGCACCCTCACTCCCCATTCACCCGATTTCCAAGTTGAACCTTCGCTCAACAACTCCTTCCAGCCTTCTGGGATGCAGTTGATAATGGATTGTAGATTCTCGTCTCATCGGTGACATCCTCTGAGCTGGGAGGCAAGTTCCTGTTCTGTCACCCAGTCCTTTTTCTCCTCGTTCCATCGATGGCTCACTTTCCAAACTCCATGTTTGATCCATGAAAGCCATCTCCTTCCTCTATGCTTAAGGGATAGTTGGTGATCACTTTCGTCCCTCACCCACGGATTACCAAACAGGTGTTGCTTCAGTACCTCTTCTTTGGATTTGAATCTACCCACTTTCCTTGGCATGGCTTCCCACCATATCCGCAGCAATGCAGTCCAATATGGTGTAGGGGGTCCGGCTTCATTTGGATCGGTTGACAGTTTTGAAATATCTGAAAATTTTTGAAATTGGAATGTGGGAAAAGTTTGCATGAAACTCCACTTTTGCCTCGCAGTTTTGTAGTCCCCCCTTCCTCCCTCCTTTTTGTTTTTTGCTGTTCGTTAATATTACTTGAGAATACTTAATATGGAGTCTACTCTGTGAATTGGTGACAATTTTGGTTAAACGGGCCTTTGGGTTTCCTTATAAATGGCATGACAAATTGTCTGAAAATTTAGGAATCTGTTAACCGTCTCTCGATATGGTGCCGGGTGGCATCGACTAGCATTACTTGATTGCTCACTTCCAGCCTCACTCAATACTTGGTCGCACACGACCACAGCAGCGCTTCTGCAACAAGGTCAAAGAGAAAAGGGTTTTAACTTTTAACGTCTTGCTGCAGTTGGACTTTTGCAGCAGTTGGACTTTCGCGTGGAATGCTGCTAATCCAAATCTTGGACTTTTCCAGACCAGTCAATGCTCCCTCCTTTGCTGGTCGCGGCTGGCCTTCAACGCCTCCAGAATGTTCACTGACTTTCTTGGGACTGAGCTGGTGCTTGGACTACATTCTTCACCCGAACATAACGCCCACACATTATATTCAACTTACCCTTTTAAAATAAGGTTTTTGTTTCTACTCACTTTTTTTCAAATATAACGACTCTTCAAAAAGTTTGAAGTTCAAACATAACACCCGGGCGTTATATTTGGATGCGTCATGGACAGAGTGCCTTGTAGTGGGAGTATACATGGGTTTTTAAGGGGGGGGGGGGGGGGGGGGGGGGGAGGAGTGGGTATACATGGGTTTTGAAGGGGGTTGAAAGAGGTTTTGACTTCCAAGGGGTATGTTTTGATTTGAT